AACCTCTCATTGACAATCAAACAGCTTCTATACCTCGGTTCAATGATGAGCACTGAAAAATCAAAAATGTTATCAAGCAATGTTTTAGGTTTTGAAAAAACAGGTTTTATTATCTGCAAGTACCAGTTCAATTTTCTAAAGTGAAAAATGGTGCAAAACTTCTTGTGCGTACTTGCATTCACATTATATGCTTTGAAGTTGATGATAAGGGAGAAGAACTTCCAGTTTTACCTGCCACACCCTTGCCCTTACAAGCTAGAGACAACACTCAAGTTGAAATTTAATCAGGGATTCGCAGGGATCAAATGTTGCAGTTGTTTAATTGATGTAAATGAAAATAATTTGTGAAATTTTAGTTTTAGAGAGTTTAATTTTAAACAAAAGTTTTTGAGTTTTTCTCTTGTTACAATCTTATTAAGTTATTAGATTTACATTATATTGGACAGGTGATACCAAATACAAAGACGAAGTTTTTTGGTATTGGAAAGGAAAGTAAAAAACTATTCCAATATAATATCTAGAAAATTTTATATTTACTTTTGTCCTGTTCAGGTATATTTTAGTTCAGAATTAAGGAGTTTTGACATTTGTTTAATTTTTACCTTTGCTTAATTTGTTTAAAATTGAATTGAGTTGCTTAATTTGTTTAAAATTGAATTTAAATTAAATTAAAAAAATTGCTTTACATTTGCTTAATTTGAGTAACTTATATTGAGATATTCTTTAACCACTTACTCATCAGCAGCTATCAAATTTTGCAAATTTTTTAATTTAAAGTTAGTACATAAAATAATCCTTAATAAAAATATAAAAAGTTAAAACTTCGATTAAACAACAATTTTTTGACAGTTGAATTGGTATTTGCTGCAAAATTTAATGATGTTCTGTAATAAATCTTTAATAGAGAATACGAAAGTTTCTATGGTTTTTTATGACTAAGAGTATTTGCTTTGGTTGTTTGGGCGTCTTGAGGTGTAAATACTGGATCTGAGCTTGGAGAAGTTGTTGCTCAAGAATAACTTTTTCCATTTCCGTCTTAAATCGAATTTTCTTCATCAGATGACGTAACATGTTCTAAAAACTAAATATAATATTTTGTAAAATTTTCTAGATATTACATTATATTGGAATAGTTTTTTACTTTCCTTTCCAATACCAAAAACCTTTGTCTTTGTATTTAGTATCACCTGTCCAATATAATGTAAATCTAATAACTTAATAAGATTGTAACAAAAGAAAAACTTAAAAACTTTTGTTTAAAATTAAACTCTCTAAAACTAAAATTTAACAAATTATTTTCATTTACATCAATTAAACAACTGCAACATTTGATCCCTGCGAATCCCTGATTAAATTTCAACTTGAGTGTTGTCTCTAGCTTGTAAGGGCAAGGGTGTGGCAGGTAAAACTGGAAGTTCTTATCACTAACTTTAAGGCACAATGTGAACCATGCATGTACGCACGAGAGGTTTTTCAACATTTTCCACTTTAGAAAATTGAATTGGTACTTGCAGAGAGTAAAACCTGTTTTTAAAACCTTAAAACAATGCTCGATAACATTTTTGATTTTTCAGTGCTCATCATTGAACCGAGGTATAGAACCTCTCAGTGACAACCTGTTTGGTTGTCACTGAGAGGTTTGATGAGTCAGTTGTTGCAGGGGTAGCCTTGGTCACTGTCGATAAAACAAACTATCCAGTACTGCATGAACTGCTTGATTACCGGTATTTTTTTCAACACCATGACAATCTCACTCAACATGATTTAAATGAAGCAGTTCTTGAAATTTAAAAAGTTTTTAACTATTTTAATACCATTTAGAATAGAGCATACTTAAATTATGCATATTCAAAATGAGGAAAAATAATTCCGTCAACACAAAAACCGAAAAGACTACATAAAAAATCAGTTATACAGAAAAAAATAAAAACTGGGACTTAAAGAATTTTAGCAGCCTCTTTAGATATATTAAATTGAATTTATATTAAACACCTTGAAATTTACTTCATCAATTTAAAAATTTAAACAGTAAAAAAAGGCAATCATTAAATCATATAGTAAAAAAAAAATTTAATTTAATCTCTTGCGGATAATCTCGTAGAAACAATATATATATATATATATATATATATATATATATATATATATATATATATATATATATATATATATATATATATATATATATATATATATATATATATATATATATATATATATATATATATATATATATATATATATATATATATATATATATATATATATATATATATATATATATATATATATATATATATATATATATATATATATATATATATATATATATATATATATATATATATATATATATATATATATATATATATATTTATCTTGGAATAAATCGCTGAGAGCATCAGAGCCATATTTTCTTAAGATTTGCGTTCTTTAAACATTTTATATATATATATATATATATATATATATATATATATATATATATATATATATATATATATTCACACACATACGTATGTGAGTATATATTTATATACATGCTCATTTTTATTTTCTGGTTTTGCAAAAAGATTGATTATCTATAGTAAGACTATTGAATTGTCATTGCATTTTAAATCAAAAATTATTCTTTATAATTGAAAAATTAAAATCTAAGAAAAAAACACAATTGCTTTTTACCTGTCAAGTTTGTCTGTTGGTGACACTTTTTTGAAAATCCAAAAAATCTTCGACATCTGACTCTGACTCAGAATTGGTTATTTTACAAGTTTGAAGTTTGTTATAAATTTTTAAAACTATTAAATTTTTATGCAGAAAATACAAGAATTTTGTTATTTTATTATCACCTTTTGTGTTAACTAAAATATGGAAAATAAAGAAACAAGCAAGAAATAACTTAGATATCTTTTTAAAAGATAGCTGAGTCAAGTTATATTTCTTGTTTGTTTCTTTAACCATATTTCAGTGCAAAAGATTCTTTTACACTGACCAGATACCTGAAATAGAATCATCAGATAAAGAATAGAAAAGAATCCAACTAAAGAATAGTAATAGAAACAACATACACTCGTAGTTTTGTTTAGAAGATAATAAATAGTTATGAAACGTGTAATTCTTTAAAAAAATGCTTGCTTAAGCATACTTTACTATTTGATATTATTTAATATTAAATATTTACTATTAATATAAACAAAGTAATAATTACTATTGATATAAATAACATAATTAAATAATTTACTGTAAATATTATTCAATTCTAATATTAATAATAACAAATACTATTTGTAAATACTTTAGAAAGATACGTATCTCACTCAAGTATTTACAAATAGTATTTGTTATTAAATAGTAAAGTGTTTACTAACAAACACTAAAGGAACAAAAGACTTAGAACTCTAGATACATAAGAATCCCAAAAAAGAGTTTTAAATTTAAAACAATGTGTACACGTACTCTTAGCAACTCAATTAGCAAAATGTTTAATATAGCTTGCAGTTTAAAAAACCGTTTTGCTTTTAAAATGGCTTTATATTAAACTTTTACATAGTTTAAATGTTTAAAAAAAGCAAACCAAACACAAATTATTAATTATTTTTGGTTATTTACTTATGTTCAATATCTTTGACATTTTTTGACATTTCTAACTAGATAAAATTCAATATAAATTACAATTTTACATACCTTTCGGGCAGTTTAAAGTTGTAATTTACATAATTGTAAAACTTTAAACAAAAAATCGCCATAAATTATTTATAGAACTGTGTAACTATACAATGTAGCTACATTATAGAGATTTACATTGTAATTTCGCTTTATAGGCTCTTGGATTCTTATTAATATTAATTACTAACAATAATAAAATAGCATTTTTAGGATAGACCCGCGGATTCTTTTTTTAGTGATTATTACTAACAATAATAAAATTGTATTTAGGTCTTATAACTTTTTGTAAGCAAAATAAAAAAGAAATAATATACCAAAAAAAACGTTAATTAATTGTTATCCATAATTCTAAAATATACTCAAGATAACTTGTAATTAGCTATTTACAAATGTCAGGTAAATTATTATACAAGTATATGATTAACTTTTAAATATAAACACTTTTAAATAAAATACAATAAAAAAAAGCACATTTCACTATGCTGTTAGCCCTTTTTATTTTTAAAAACCTTATAATAATCTGCCTCGATATAAAATCGAAATTAAAAAGGTTAGTCGTTTTAACGTTGCATAATCAACGTTAGTTTATTAATCAATCATTATTAATTAATAAACTAACGTTGAATAATCAACGTTAGTTTATTAATCAATCAACTATAAATCAACGTGGAAGTGACGTGAAAAATTCCAATATTAGACTTTCTACATCACTAAGACGTTGAAACGACTTCGTGTTGTTCAACGTTACTTCAACGGTATCTACGTGGGAGGGATGTTGAAAGTTCCGACGTTAAAAACTTCAACCTTGCTTAGACGATGACACGATATCGTTTGCTGGTTGGGTAATTTAAAACGTTTACACTTTTACATCTTAGTTTAAATAGTTTTTTTCTTTAATTCAAAAAATGTTAAACATTGATTGATAATTAAATGTAGAATATAATTATTTATTTTTTTTTATGTTGAAAAATCTTTTATTCGATTAAACTATATCAACTTAAAATATTAAAATTTATTCGAAATATAGTATTCCAGCTATATAAACCTCTAATTTTTTTCCTTTTTTTTTATATTGCAGATTCAGAATAGCATTTATTTTCAAAATAAAAAATTTCAAACTATTAGATATGTAATTAAGACATAATGTAAAAGTCCACTGGCATTTAGTAAGAGGCTTAAATAATTATTGTAAGATAATTTTAGGCGCTCTTTGTATGCATATGCACCTAGGGTTTCAGATTTTTTTTTAAAACACATTGTAGTTTTTTTTCTTCAATAAAGTATTTTTTATTGAAAAAAAAGTCTTATTTAAAAAATAATAATTATGGTTTTAGTATAAATTACAACAATGGATGAAAGAGACAAGCGTAGAAAAAAGATACTGGAAAATTCAAAACTTCGACTTAAAAAGCTGGAACTTTTAAATAAATCTGAGGGGAACGGAATAAATACATGCCATAATCCGATTGAAGTTGGTTTTAATTCGAAATTAAAATCTATTGAAGACGTTGATCACAATGACACTATTTCTCATAAGTTAAATCCGGATGATTCACATTTAAATAAAACTTTAGATGGTACATTACTCTTTGAAATGAAAAAAACATCCAAAATCTCAGAAAGCAGTTGGATAATCCGCAAAAGAAGAATATTTTTATTTGTTCTGCTTGCCTGGGTGGTTTATTTGACTACTCTTAAGGGCCTTGATTTCTTATTCGCTTTATTTTATTCTTATAAACTTCCGCAGGATGTTTTAGGAAACATGGTTTTTATGTTGTTTTTTGTTGTAGAGTTACAAGTCATAATTGTTGGTGTTTGGTTTGTTTATAGAGGTTCTCGTTCTTTTCTTTTTACGACCTTTAAACTATACGGTCTTCCTGAAAATGTTGTTTTATGTTGTGAAAATATATGTTTTTTTTGTAGTAGCATTCTAACTGATTTTAGTGTTTACATATTTGTATTGGTATTTCTATATACTTTTGATTTTTGAAATTTTCAATATATAAAACCATTTTATACTTAAAAAATGTATTGAATTTCTTTATTTTGCTACATATTTTAAATACTCCATATTATTCGGTATTCTTCATTTTTTATAAATTATTACTATGTTCATATGTATGCCCGTGTAAAACCAATGATATATTAAGAATAACTACTGTAGCATGGGGTAATTGAGCATCTTATTTGTAGTTTTTTTCAAAATAAAAAATGACTTGTAGATAATTTTAAAAATGAAATGTTTTTGCAGTACTCGGTTTACCTAAGGCATTTTAAAATATTATAGCGTCTGTATGATATTTTGTTGATACGACATTTCCGTTAAATAACCAGGTCTGTGAATTATGATAAGACGAAAAAAATTATAATGTATTATAAAATATAAACATTTGTAGTGAAAAAACCTAGACCGAAGATTTTTTTTTTTTTTTTAAATCTTCTTAAAATCACAATGCTCGTCCAAATTTAAATAAGACTTTAAATAAATACGTTTTTTAGGTGAAATGAACATCATAGTTTGATAATACGACCTGTTCTGATCGTTTATTGGCAATTTTTCTTAATTATAAGCTTTTTCTTGGTCGAATTCTAGTATTTTTTCTGAAAATCGATAGAAATATTGTATTTTGACATACATAGTTAATATATGGCAGAATCAATTAGAGCTAGGATCTATAGTGGGTTAAGGCTCTTCGAAATATTATAGCTAAGTTTATATGAACGCCGATAAGCGAAAGTAGTCTAAAGACTCAAAAATGGTATTCTTTAAATTCTTTATTAGTAATAAGGTATTAAAGAAGTTTTGAAATTTATATTTCTGTTCAAAAATTACTTATTATTGATAAATAAGGCAACATGCATTAATAAACAAGTTTTCTTTAACTTTTTCTGAAATCCATTATATTTTCAAAAATTCTTTAGGTTTAATCTAAAGGTTTAAACACTAGGGAAAAAATAAAACCCAGGCTTTTTACGACAATTCCTTTTTCTATACAAAAATCTACTAAAGTTTAATAATTAAGAAAAGTTGCATATCTATATATCATTAAAACCTATATAGCATATTAATATAGCATTAAAACCTATATAGCATTAAAACTAGTGTTACTAATTTTACTAATCACTAATTTTATATAGAATCTTTATTTTATATAGAATATAGAAAAAAAAGGTTTAAAACAATCCTAAAGAATGCAATGAAACTTTAGTTTTCAACGACAAAACCCCATTAACCCCGTGTTTAAAAACTTAATTAAAGTTAGAAAATAAGACAAACCGTTAAAAAAACAGTTTCCTCTGATTTAATTTAATATCATTTTTTATATTTTTGTAAATTCTGTGGGTTTATTCTTGAAAATGTTAAATTAAATCTATGAAAAGTAAGGGAACCTTTATTTTTTATGACAAAACTTTTTTTATTATAAATACATAAAATTGAAAAAATAGACAAAATCATTAAAAAAAACAACAGGTTTTCACTGACTTTTGAAATATTCTATTGTACTTCTTTAGATTCTGTAAGTTTATTCAAGTTAAATAAAAGATGAGTGAAGCACAGGAACCTAGGTTTTTTACGACAAAACCCCTTTTTATGTACAAAAACATCTTTAATAGTTAAAAATATGACAAAATCATTAGAAAAACAGGTTTTCTCTTATTTCTTTCAGAATCTTTTGTTATATTTTTGTAGGTTCTGTGGGTTTGATCAAAATAATGGCAAAATAAAATTAAGGCACCCAGCTAAACCTATGTTTTTTCGCATAAGAATGCTATTTAATTGATAAGTGTTTTTACAAAAATGAATATTACTCAAAAAACATCAATAAAACGGGTTTTCACTGTCTACTTTTAAAATCCTTTGTAATATTTTTGTAGATTTTGTAGGATTTTTAAGGAAAACGTTAAATAACAGGGGGAAAAAAAAGGCAACCTTTGTTTTTTACGACAAAACCCGCTTTCTGTTTAAAAACTTAATATTTAAAAATATGACAAAAAGATCAAAAAACGGATTTCTTTATATATATTTTGTTAAATTTTTGTAGATTCTTTGGGTATATTAAGGAAAAAGTTAAAACAAACCTCAGGCATGCATAGGAACGAACGGTTTTCACGACAACACTTTGTTTTCTCTGAAAAAACTTAAAATTAGAACTTAAGCTTAAAATTAGAAAATATGATAAAATTACCGAAAATAACTTTAACTTATTTCTTTTGAAATCTATTGATATATTTTTGTAGATTTTGTGGTTTTATTCAAGAAAACGTTAAAATAAAACTTAGGCAATCAAAGGAATCTATATTTTTTTCGATAAAATCCTTTTTTCTGTAAAAAAATTTAGAAAACATGACGAAAACATTAAAAAAACAGGTTTTCATTGATTTCTTTTGGAATCTTTTGATATATATTTTTTTAGATTTTGTGGATTTATTTAAAAAAGGTCAAAATAAAGTAAAGGCGCCCAGCTAAACCTTTTTAATTGATAAAAGTGTTTACAATAATAAATATTACTCAAAAAACATAAATAAATCAGATTTTCACTGATTTCTTTGAAAACCTTTTGCTATATTTTTGTAGATTCTTTGAATTTATTGAAAAAAATGTTAAAATAAATCTGAGGGAAGCAAGGGAATTTAAGTTTTTTAAGACAATAGCCCTATTTCTGATCAACAACGTACTTAAAATTAGAGATTTTTTTTTTTTTAACATCTTTTCTTCCAGCTAGACTGCAAGCAACCACTACTTGTTTTAGAAGATACTAAAAGAGAAAAGACGAAGGTTGTAGAGCGAGATAACGATTGACAGGCGACTTGCAGATTATATGAATAACGAAAACAAGATGAAGGAAGCAAAGTCCGAAGAACCGATGTACGAGAGAAAAAACTAGACGAATAAGAGTTTTTGGAGCATCTAGTGCAGTCACAGAAAATGGATGAGACTTAATTGAAGTAACACGAGAATGAATTTTTGTAGATGGCATAAAAGACGCTAGATCTGTAGAGCAATCCCCATTACAGAATTTACAACGATGTGATAATTGTTGGAGGTTTGCTGCAAGACCAGGTTCAACTATGTTTACGATGCGTTTTTGTACCTTGTCCAAAAAAAAAAGTGCATCATTAGAAAATCCGCCCCAGATATGGCAACAGTATTTTATACAAGGCCGGATATGAGATTTATAGAGATATAGTAGATGACTCATTTAGTACACTACCGTTCATAAATATAGGAAGATCATTGCGATAACGATTGGCGGAAAAAATTGAGTTTTATCTAAATTAAAGTTTTTCAACCACTGTGAGCCCCATGTTGTAGCAGAAGTGAGATTCTTTTCAAGCTCAAATGCCCCTGCAAGCAATCAGAGAGTGTTGGCTTCTTATCAAGACAAAAATAAATGGTAGTATCATCTACAAACAATGCCACCTTAGATGTGAGAATATCTAGATATCTAGTTAATGCAATTAAAAAGAGTATAGGACCAAGGATAGAACCTTGGGAAACCCCTGAAGTTACAGAACATAAAGAAGAGTGACAGTGTCCATTCAAGACAACTTTTATACTTAAGGAAGTATTTATTAATCTTAAAGATATTACAAGATAAACCATAAGAAGATAGCTCATAGAGAAGACCAGCATGCCAAACTTTATCAAAAGCTTTAAAAATGTCAAGAGCAAAGGCCTTAACCTCTCCACCTTTATCTAATGCACGATAAAAGCTATTGGTTATTACTGTTAGTAAATCAGCTGTAGAACGAGAAGATAGAAATCCATACTTATGATCAGAAAGTAAGTTATTAGATTCAAGATGAGTAAAGGTGGAGTAAAGATTTGGCCTTATTATTGATACTATTAAAGATTCTCCAGAAGTCAGGAAAGCCTAATTTTTGTAATGAAATACTAGATTTCATGATCTAAGAATAACGGGTTTTGGCGTTAGACAAAACCTTTTTGCAATGGTTCCTAGCAGTAATAAACGAAAGTCTGTTTCTTAGGGATTTGTTTTGCTGATAGATATGTAAGTAACGGTTTCAATTGGAAATTGCAGCAGCACAATCTAAGGAAAACTATAGAGAAGTGTAAGGTTTGACCAAGAATCGTCGAAATGAAATAAAGGATTTTATGCTAGCCTGAATTCACGAAGTTATGAAAGAAGCACATTTATAAGCACGAAGACATAAGTTTTCTTGCAATAAAGCATAAGTTTTTTGCAACAAAATCCAATTTTCGGTACAAAAACTTAATATTTAAAAATATGACAAAATCATTAAAAAAGCAAAAAAAAGATTTCTATTAAAATTTTTTTTTTATATTTTTATAGATTCTGTAACTTTATTCAAAAAAAATGTTAAAATAAACCTAAGGGATGCCTAGGAACTTAAGTTGTTTAAAACAAAACCCCTTTTTCTGTTTAAAAACTTATATAATATTTGAAAATATGTCAAAATCATCACAAAAAAAATGTCTTTACTGATTTATTTTAGAATTTTTGTTTCTAAAAAATAAAATATATAACAAAGCATCAAAAAAACAGGTTTTTAGTAATTTTTTTGATTCTTGTATTATATATTCGCAGATTATGTAAGTTTATTCAAGAAAACTTTAAAATAAACCTAAGGAAAGCAAAGAGATCTAATTTTTTTACACACTTTTACACTTTTTTTGAACAATAAACTATGAAATAATAACATAAGATGAAAACATCATAAAAACAAGTTTTTTACTAAATTTCATTTTATTATTTTGTTACATTTATGTAAATTCTGTGGGATTGTTTATGAAAATAAAAAAAAGAAACTTTAGGGCAACAAAGGAACGATGTTTTTATAACGAAATTTATAACGAAATTTTTATATTTTTTATATTTTATATATTTCATATTTTATAATTATTTATAACAAAATTAATAACGAAACCCATGTTTTTATAACGAAATTTATAATGAAATTTTTGTATTTTTTATATTTTATATTTTATAATTATTTATAACAAAATCCCTTTTTCTGTACAAAAAAATACTTAAAAGTAAAAAATTAGACAAAAGAAATAGAAAAAAAGGATTTTCTATAATTAAACCTCTTTTTTTGTATTATAACTTATTTTTAATTAAAAAATAAGACAAATGCGTCAAAAAATCAGATTTCCACTATTTTCTTTCGAAAGCCTTTGTTATATTCTTTAAGTTTTATTTTAAGATAATGGTAAAATAAACCTGAAGGAAGCAAAGGAACGTAAGTTT